TGCAAGCAGCAGTAGCAGCAGCAAGAAAAGACTCGAGTTCCAAGCTGCAGAAGATCTCCAGCAGTCTTGTTGGGTAAACCGAACATATTTCTTCCAGCAGTCAAGTTCCTCTGTTCCTAATCCTAATGGCAGGCCATGGTTTTTTACCAGTGCACGTGTTGGACACAGCTCAGTTGAATCTGGTCTGACCGAACAGTCTGTCTTTCCATGGAGAAAAGAAGAGTCCATGTCAATAGATAGACCATGAACTTTCAAACATGCCTTTTGGTCCATGGACTGTCATAGGAAGATTGATCGATCCATTTACCTAATTAATGATCCACCTATGCTTGATGACAATTAGATTTGCTGCGGCTCACAAGATCTGGAAAGCCAATAGATCTGCCCTGTATCTGTAGCAGATCTAGTCTCTGCCGACAGGGATTTCTTAGCATTTGTCATCAGAACTGGGTTGTACGTCAGTATTGCTTTTATGTGCTTTATATGTTCTTGGATCCATTGATTTGGTTGTGTGGACTAGCATTCAATTCACTACTCACTAGTTGAACCCCTTTTGTTTTAGTTCAGATTAAGACATTGTAATGTGTTGGAATTCTGAGAAGAATAGGAAGGGGAGAGGAACAGTGGACCTGGTGGCCAAAGCAGACGCCGAGAACCTTCTTCTTCTTGGCGTCCAATGCCTTGAGGAAGGAGACGAGGTCCTTGATCCACTGGTCGTCGCCGTGGGCGTCGTTGCAGCTGCCGGTGATGACGAACCCGTCATAGCCATCGACGTCGGCCATGCATGGCAGCTCGCCGTGCGCCGCCCGGTACAAGTCCCACGCCTCGCCCTCCTCTCCCAGCAGGCCCACGAACACCTTGAAGTACCCTCCATAGGTCTTCTTCACGTACTCGGAGTCGTCGGCGCAGAGCAGCACCGCGAACTTCGGCCTCCCCTTCTTCTCCACCTCCCCTCCATCTTCTCCTCCCATCTCTCGACCTCGTCGTGCCGCAAGGGGAGCAGGAGCTCTCTTGCTTCCGGTAACACAAGGAAGAAGAAAGCTCCCTTTGGGATGGCGGAGGGCAGGAGAAAGGCTGGGCTTTATAGAGGTGAAAAAGGTAGGGATCAACACATGGTTTGACAGGAGGAGCCAAAGCTTTGACTGTTCTTTAATGGTGGGCTTCTTAGCTGTCGTCTTGGTTTTGCACCGAGCACGATGCCACGTCGATGGTGATAGGTACCTGATAAAACCAAGCCTTTCAAATTAATCTCTTTTACTTGTAAGAATCGGATACTATTTTGATTAGAAACGTCTACAGAGCTTAGACTGGATCACTTCTTTGTATTATTTTGCTTGGTTTCCATAAGCATTCATTAGGTCATGTCTTGGCTTGTAAAGGAGAGAAGACATGGTGACGGGAGGGCACACTCACGAGGTCTGTGCTGGGGTTGGACACGGTAAGAACAAGACTTGCACGAAGAATTCAATTGTTAGGGCAGTGAACTGATTAGACTCGGAAAGAACAAAGAAAGCAGGAGTAGTCGGTGGAGCTTAAACAGGGGTAAAGAATCGACACATGCACTTACTACAAGACTTACTAGGAAGAAGGTAGGAAGAGTTGTCAGTCAAGCTCAGAAACGGAACATGATTCAATACCTTCATCATGTTTGCTAAACAGAAGGAAGGACGAGTTGGTAATCTAGGCCACAGAGAGAGAGAGAGAGAGAGAGGAATGTTTCCCTACAAAGAAAGTTGGAAGAGTTGTCAATCAAGCTCAGAAAGGAACGTGATTCAACACCTGCATCATGTTTGATAAACAGAAGGAAGGACACGTTGGTAATCTAGCCCCCAGAGAGAGAGAGAGAGAGAGAGAGAGAGAGAGAGAGAGGGAGAGAGAGAATCTGCATCATGTTTTATTCACGAGAAAATGAGAAGCAAACTCTTTCCGACCAAACCCCACTGCATTGTCCCCAAAAGACGAGATGGAGATCTGACTTCTTAATTAGTTTGAGCAAGAAGAGATGTCCAATATGCATTGTCCACAATTCCTGGTAGTGGACAATGCATTCCCAGCTCACTGATATCACAAGGTTGCATGCTCACATATTTCTTAGATTCACCAGCATTTGTGCTGCCACCTCATGTTGTTGCAGACCAGAATCTAAGTGCTCACCAATGACATCCCACCTCACATTTCAAGTTGATACTCCACAGAGTCACTGTGGAGGCAGTGCACACGTACATGCTCTGTTCTTCTGTGACAGAAAAGAAGAACAGAGTTGAAAGGCTCCACAGGTGATCACAGTAACCTTGCAGAATTGGGTGAGCAATAGACAACTCGCAATGTGATCGAAGAAGATCACAGCATTTAGATTTCAGGATGTCGACATCTGGGTGATTGCCTAAACACAAGAAATTGGCCAATGGGGTGTCTGACTGTGAAGAGAGAACTGCACCAATGCAAATGTCTCATGCTGCATGTGGAAGATGGCATCACAGCTGTGCTGTCAGCAAAAGCAGCTTACAGTAGCAATGTCTTGTTTGGACCAAAAGGAGGTGCTTTTGAGCTGACTTTTAGATTAATGACAGTACTAGAAGCTTCATATGATTAATGAATGCAAATCTTCAAATAACCATGAATGATTCACATCACAGGGACAGTAATCACTGTCAAATTGGATTTTTCTTTCTTCTTTTTCTCTTTCTGATAGTTACATTGCATTACGATATGTTCTATAGAACAGTCTTTTCTGAAGCAAATCACAGCAACCTTGCACAAATGATCCAGGAATCCAGTTACTCTTTGCAGCTAGAATTGAACTTTTACTTGGATATTACCCAATATTACTTTTGGTTGTGGTAGCATCTCTTGTACAAATCATCAATATCAATCTTTACAGAGATTTTTTGTTCCCTAAATTCTGAATTAACCAAGGAACATTGCAGAAGGTATTCTTCTAAGCATGTTCATTTATGCACTCATCTACAAATTTTCCTGGTAGTGCATTGCACAACTTCTTCATTGCCAGAGAGTTTGATCTTATAATCTCACTATTTCTGAAGTTTTTTATCAAGGAGAGGAACCCTTGAGGTAGCAAAGATGGAAGAAACATGTGGCTGCAAAATCCAGAAAGCAGACATGATCAGAAAGCTCTTTCTATCTTGTTGATGTGTCTTGAGCTGACAACTCCTCTAGAACTAATATATAGTTAGCTTACAAATGTCTGAAAACTCAAATGTGGTTTTGTACAGTAGTGTTCTTTGTCAAAGTGCTGTCATAGTCATCAAGCCTTGTCAAAGTCCAATCAATCAGCACATAGATCACAGAAATTTTGGACTTCTCCCTGAACCACTCAAAAGTTCACTTCAAGTTGACATTGCCTATTCTGAATGTGCCATTCTAGTCATCACAAACTGCTAAAGATTTCCAGTCATTGAGACAGCTCAAGCAGACAGCACACACACATCATTTTAGTTTGTTTATTTGAGACCACCTAATCAGATGACACACTCAACACTTCCAGCACTCACATTAAACAATTTGGTGCCGTAAGCTGTCAAAGACAGGCTTCGTAAGCTTCGAAAGTGTGCTGTGACCAGAAATGGTGTGCATGTCCATCAAGATCACATTGTTGCTAGGGTTGAATAAACTAGATTTCCACAGGATCAAGTCCCCATAACAAGAACATGACTTCAAGCAAAATGAAGCATCCAGCAATGAGCCAGGAAAGGAAATGGCAATGAAAACTTATTACAGATCAAGGTCATGTTCTCAATATCTGTAATTTTCCTCTGCAAGTTCAACAGCAGTAGATCTAAGCTTCCAAGTCTCTCTGTTAAATTGACATGTCCGACCAATTCTGGGTCCTTTTGGAAAGAAGGAGCTTACTCTGAACTTGTGAGAAGACCATAACAAAACTCAAATGTGTCAGCTCTATAAAGCTTATGTTAATCAGGAACAAAACTCAAACTTGTCAGCTTTGTAAAGTATATCACTCACTCACTTTGTTCCTTCCATCACCTCCTAAACGACGAATGAGAAAGGAAAGAACAGACACATCCTTTGTAAATCTGATTCGGTCCGAAGCTTAAACAAAGCAGTTTGAGTCTGAGTGTCAACCGATTGAGCTAAACCATGTGTCAACCTGCCACTGAGTTATTTTCTACTAATTAATTTTACTTCAGAAGTTCTAAATTGATCTTGACAACAGATCTGCTGTTTGATGAGATTCAAGTTGTAGATGATATAGAGAAACCTATCCAGCCTGCGGCGCCACAACCGATCTATATGAAGTTCTTAAATGATGATCCCTGATCCGAAGAGTGACAAATCAAGATCAGAATTTTTTTGGCATAGTGTCAGAGCCAAATCTGATGGACATCCATGAGACACTTGTACTTGAAGAATCTTGATTTGAGAAGGCATGCCTAATGCAAATCGTACTTCATTAAACTATTCTTGTTTTGCTCAAAATTTGTCAGCTCAAGAAATTAACTATCAAGTGGTCTAATGTCTACTCATAGATCATAATTCCCAATGAAATGTAACTTGACCTCCCTAATTCACCTTCAGAACAGATGCTGCAAACCTTTCACTTTCCAGTGGGATCTGGTGTGGGCTGCATCTGACCTGAACTGGACCATGCTGGGATTGAGTTTGGTGTGATCCAGCCTTTCTGATTGCAAGGATCACACCAGGTAAGGAAGCAGCCTGGGAAACAATGGATAAGGAGAATTGTTGGACATCATTTAGCAGAGAAAGCTGATCTTTTGGCATTAAAAATTTGTAATGTGTACAAGCTAAACAAGAGAGTAGCAGAAAAGAGTTGAACACATTAGAATCCGAGACACTCAAGAGACTCGGTTGCTCGTGAATTTAATGCTTAGTTCACCCTTTCATCTGCAGGAGGAATATTAATCCAGAAAAAGCGGTGCTCTTAGAAACAACGTCAGGTTCATCTATTTCGTCGCCTACCTCAAGGAGATGAAGAATGAGGACGCAGACGGCAGACATTCGCATGAAACATAAGAATCAGAACTTTATATTTATTGATTTAATGGAGAATTCAGAGGACAACATCGAAGCAGCAGTACTTTCTTCCACAAAATCTTAAAGACCAGCAAACACAGAGCTGTCTTACGGATTGATCACCACAACCATGTGGATTTCATAATTTTAATGGTTAGAAACTGTCATCATTTCTGGTGCAGAGCAGCCGATTTCAGGTTGCATCAACAACAACCAGAGATGGACAAACCCAAAGAAAAAGAATCAGACTTCTGTAAGTGAGTGATATTCACGGATACTGTAATTAAAATGGCTGTATGGTAACAATCGATCAAAGCAGCAGGAGGAGGAGGGCTCCGGGATCAATCAGAGACCTGGGGACGATGCATGCGGATGTTGAGCCTTCGAAGCCATATGGAGTGAAGGATCATATGGAACACGTCAAACCTCCTGGGAGGGCTGTTCACCACGAAATGCCTCTGCACCATCGCCCCTCTCCTCTGCAACCTGATGTACTGCGTCGGAGAGATGCCCATCAGGATCTTCTTGATGTTTGGGATGTCCTCCACCGAGATCTGCACCGAGAAGGCCTTCCAGTCGAGAACATCACTGAACGGCAGCACGTAGTGGTCGTTGATGGTGACCGGCACACAGCCGAGGTAGATGGCCTCCACGATTCTCGGGCTCGCCACCTCGTACCCGCTCGGGCACAAGCAGTACTTGCTCTTCCTCATCGTGTCGTAGTAGGACACACCCTTGGGGAGGTACTCGTGGACTTGGACGTCGGGGTCTTTGTCCTTCCACGCCTCCAGAAGCAGCGGCCGGACAGGGCCATGATCTCCACCGGCGAAGAACGCGAGGATGGGGCGGTGCGAGGCGGATGGCCCTCCCATCATGTCGGCCATGACGTCGGTCTTGATGTTGATCTCTGGCAGCGATACGTCCTTGGAAGGATCGAAGCCTTCGGACGTGTTTGCATTGCACAAGACTCGAACGGAGTTGCCGTAAAGATTAGGCACGGCTTTGGAAGAATGAGGCCCCTGCAGAACCACTGTTCGATCAGTCAAACTACGTCTCCTTCTCGATTACAGCGACGACATCAGCGCGATCGACAACATGAATTGAAACCCACAAGACTAACCCAATCATGGCAGGAAAGCATGAAATGATCTGCACCCAGGCTCCTGTTCCAGTAAGGATATCTTTCGGCGACGACATCGATGTAATCAGCAATGGTCTTTTTGATCGGGGAGATATCGAAGGACTCGGGCTTGTATATGAATTTAACCATCTTGGCGACGCTGAACGGCAGAAAGAAGACATGAGCAAGATCAGGGTTCCTAGTCCGATACCGGGAGTCCATTTCCATGCTGTTGATGAACCTTCCCTCCGAAGAGTATATGCTCCTGCAGGGGCCATCATGGAAGAGTGGCGGCTCACCTTCTTCATACACATACACCTTGAACAGCTTCTCCATTTCCAAATAACTCCTGCATGCATGTTTTCTTCACATCAAACCAACCGTTGAAGCTTCTACTATACGTACATGTTGCAGATCATTACCATTATACCTGTGAAAAGCATAAGCATTCCTGTATAATGGCCCTTGTGGAACATAATCTTTGTCGGGTAATGCCGTTCTATTACCGGCGTTCCGAAATGCTTTCTTGATAGCTGCTCGAGCTCTGCCCAGGCCGAGTTCAAGTCTCTGTAATTTCGTGTATCTTTTTCCCCGCCCTCTTGGCAATGGTATCGCATCCTCGGTGGTGTTGTGTTCGAAGAGTAATACTGCCTGTGAAACAACACAGTGAATTTAACGAAGAGATTTCAAAGGGGCAGAATTTAATGTTCAAACTGATAGACAATACGAAAATATACATTTTGAGTATGTGCCCAATTGGCTTCAAAATTCATCCGATGCCCTACAAAAATAAAATGATGCTTGCAAACTAGGCATTTAATTCTCCTCAACATGCTTTGTCTTCCTTTTGACCCCAATGCAAGAATCAAGATGCAATTCCCCGAAAGAACCAGGCAATATGATGACAACCGAACTGATTGGTTGCAACATTGCTGTCCTGTCGATCATTTCCTGGGACTTGAGGACCAGTTTGTCTGTGGCAGCACATGTTCGAGTCTAATTATAGTCTTATACTCTGCTCCAAGACGAAAGCTCTCTGGGATGGCCATGACTGTAGTCTCTGTCTACCGAAAACCATGCATGAGAAGAAGGCTGACGGCCAAACTTGATGGGTTGAGTTGACTCCGGTCAGATAGTTCTCCCCAGTCCTCACCATGACGATTAATGAAATTTAAAGCATGTCATGGAGGAAAATTTTCAACTTTGATTCTGGAAACAATCTCTCTTAATACATACGAATCATTAATCGTCTGCTTTCCAAGTATATGTCAGAATGAAACGAAACTGGTGCAAGAACAACAAGAATAGAAGTGCAGAAGGCTACACATAAACTAGGACATGTATGGAGGTAGTAAACAGTACTTAGAAACAAGAAAAATCCCAAGTTTGGAAACTGTTTCCTTACCATATTATCAATTGACGAAACCAAATCAGAATCATATGACCTCCATTAAATATTTTTTTCGCAGTAAAATCAGAAACTGGTGCAAGAACAGAAGAGAGAAGAGGACTTACAGGCCCCTGCACCGGGCTCGGAGCCGCCACGGGAGGAACAGATACATCAGAAGCATGACCGGAGCGATCGAAGGAAACCTGTGCTCCGAAACCTCTCTGAGACTCCAAATCCTTTTCTTTGTGTGCACCACCGCCACCATGAAGAGGAAGGGAAAAGGAGAAGGAAGAGAACCAGGGGGTGGGGCCGTTGGAATCAACAGAGAGGAGCAGCAAGGACACCAAGACCAAAGGAACGAACACGCACGGCAACACAAACCTTGTCCCGTAACCACGGAAGCATGGAGGAGATGAATCCATGGCGATTACGGTGCATCGCACGCAACCTTGGGTTTCCGAACCTTGATCCGCATGTGTATATATATACATATATGGAAGGTCATTAACTGCATCATTAAGGGAGCGGGGGTGGCGCTGACGGTAACGCTGTTGCCATACAAGGGTTTGAAGGAGGAGAATTGTTAGGGATGGGTGCCCGGGTATGGAAACTGAGCCAAGTGGCTCGGTCTGTGCCGCTGTGAGTCGCGGCGAGTCCGACACGAGGCGGCCGAGTTCTCCGCGAGTCCGAAGCCTCCTTTTCCCCGTTCGGTCGACTTTTGACGTACCCGCTCCCCCGCATGCATCTTTTCGTCGTCGATCACTTATGCATACGCACCCGGCGACCATACCCGTCCCGTGATTGGATGCGCAGTGGCCCGCTGCTGCGTCCAACCCGATAGATGACGATCTCTCTACGTGCGTGCGTTTTTTGCGATTACGTAGAAGAGGCGTCATCTTGGATGTCTATCTACGGCTTGATTGGGGTCCACTCCTAAAGACTTAATAGATGCAATTGAATTTTGTCTTCTATCTCTACGCAGGAATTCTTCCGCTATTGATAGGGAATTCTGACTTCACCTAAGGCTATTGATGAATCAGTCCAATCATCTTGTTCTTTTTCCAAAAAACAAAAGAACTTATGAAGAAAAACATTCCTAATATTTTTATTTATTAGGTCATTTCTCATGTCATCATAGTGCATGCATATAATGTCGCTGTTTATGTTGCCAACTAGAATATGGCGTCCATGCATAGTCATCACCGAACGGGACGTATGGACTACCACAAAAGATGAGGGGTCTAGTAAATCTTCAACCTAAACGGGCTCAGATCCGACATGATTGACCTTGTTCCGATGACACCCATAAGTGATGTTGCTTGGGTGCTGTTGATCGGGGAGTTAACATGGCTCAATTCTATCCTGAAAGTATGAACTTATCCTAGAAACTCAAGCGGATGAGAAGTACGGTTAAAAGAAGTTCGGAGCCACCTCGTAGTGTGCCTTGAACTTGTCAAGTAATGCTTCGCATCACCCAAGTTACTCCCTAGACGCAAGAGTTCTACACAATTGGTCAGTGTAGAGAGATTTCTGGAGTTGACTTTTCCGACGCTTAAGTCAATAAAAATAAAAGAGATTTAAAAGAACTCATGAGAGTTTTTTTTTAATGATTTTTTTTTGTCCCCCCTACTGCTTTTGGGATTCGATTTTTATATTTATTTTATTGATAAAGGGTAATTGGCTACTTGTCCCTCCCCTCCTAGTTTCTTGTACCGTCAGATATTTATTTATATCGATAGCTAGTGATATGTCTTCTTGTTGGCAACATCGAGAAATGATATACAAGGGCACACAATCTATCATGATAAAGGCACGTCCAAAATGAATAAGGGATGAGAATCGATGTTAGGTGACCGAAGAATTGTATTACATTATCCAAAATTAATGTTCCTTAAGAACCGCAATCATCACCGGAGATCAGTGGTGCAATCGAGGGAAAGCTTAGGGTTCTGATAGGGCGATGGAAAGGCAATTAAGAGGTTGAGTTTGATTATAGTGTTTCAATAACCGTCTCGTGCCACTTTCCATGTTGAGAGGTCGGTACGAGCTCTCGTGTTAATTTCAGAGTGACGGTCTGGCACCAGTTGAATCAGAAGAATAATGACTGTGCCACTGTTTCCCTATCACGAACATTTTATACATAAATCTATAACCCTAGTTTGGATCGATCACTGCATTTGTAGCTACTACCATTATAGCTATCATATGCAATATATTCAAGTGATTAAGATATCGGTATCTTCTCTACCAACCCGATTCGCGGCAGCAGTGAAGTCATAGATGTAGTTGACATGAATGATAAATATTATGATCTTTAATTTGATAACCATATGTTTTCTTGTTCTTCACTATAAAAGTAGGATCTGAGATGACATCTTCACCAGTAAACGATCTAATCCTTCACTGACAAGTGTCAAACATGAGTTGCCTTCAAAGTCAAAAGTGATCCATGAGAGTTTGCCGATTGTCGATGGCTGCCAACTGTCTCTTACTCTAGCATTCCATTCATGAGAGGGTCACCCTACCAAATGGACGTCGGTCAGTATTATCCTACTTTCCATCACTGTATGGTTAACACTACAAATCAAACACCGAAGTGCCGCTACTCTGTCGCTTATTTAAGCTGCTGCTGCTCTTCTCCAAAGAGCGGTGTAAGGAGAGCTTCCTCAACCTGCAGCCATGCCGGAAGATGGTAAAAGCATGAAGGTGAGAGTGGAGAGGTCAAAGATCGTCAAGCCTTTACACAAAGGTGAGCCGACTTCCACCTGTCTTCATGTACCCTTGAGCGTCTTCGACAAGATCACCTACGACACCCACATGGCCGTCATCTACGCCTTCCGGCCGCCCACCCCCTCGAACACCGACATCGAGAAGGGGCTGGCCACTGTGCTCTCCGAGTACCGGGAGTGGGCGGGGCGGCTCGGGGAGGACGCCCGAGGCGAACCTGTGGTCCTCCTTAACGACGCCGGTGCGCAGGTCTTCCAGGCGTCGTCGGACGCGCCGCTCGACGTGGCTGGACTTCTTAAGCCCTCGCCGGCTCTGCTGACCCTGCATCCGGGGATACAGGGGGTGGAGGAGCTGGTGCAGGTGCAGCTCACGAGGTTCGCCTGCGGAAGCCTAGTCGTGGGATTCACGGCGCACCACCTGGTGGCCGACGGCCACGCCGCCAGCAAATTCCTGGTCGCGTGGGGCGCCGCGACACGGGGCCTTCCTATCCACCCCATCCCCTTTCGCGGCCGCTCCGCCTTGTTCGTCCCTCGCGAACCACCTCGCGTCGAGTTCCAGCACCGGGGAGCGGAGTTCACCACCAAGAAGATGTTCAACGCCAAGGACGACCCCCTAAAGGACGACATCGTCGTCCACAAGGCGCACTTCACCAAGCCCTTCCTGACCGCTCTCAAGACCAAGGCTTCGCTGGGGAGCAAGAGGCAGTACAGCACGTTCGAGAGCTTGGTAGCCCACTTATGGAGGGTCATCAGCAAGGCTCGCGGACTCGACGAGCGCACCACCAGCGACGTCCGCATCTCCGTCGACGGCCGCAGGAGGCTGAGCCCCCCGGTCCCGGACGAGTACTTGGGCAACCTGGTGCTGTGGGCGTTCCCTCGCACGCAGGTGGGGGAGCTCATCAACAGCCCATTACAGTACGCGGCGGCGCTCATTCACGAAGGCATCGAGAGGGTGGACGACCGGTACTTCAGGTCGTTCATCGACTTCGCGAAATCGGCGGCGGTGGAGGCGGAGGGTCTGGTGACGACGGCGGACATGAACGAGTGGGTGGTCAGCCCCAACTTGGAGGTGCACAGTTGGTTGAGATTTCCCTTCTATGACGTGAACTTTGGCGGTGGGACTCCTTTCTGCTTCATGCCGACCTACTCACCAGTGGAGGGGATGCTGGTCCTGCTTCCATCCACGGTTGGAGATGGAAGCATCGAAGTTTACGTGCCTCTCTTCAACCACAACTTGGCCACCTTCAAGCACCTCTGTTGTTTACTCGACTAATTTGTCGTACTGCCCGATCCCTTCTCTCTCTCTCTCTCTCTCTCTCTCTCTCTCGCTATCTCTAGGGTATATTATAATGTTCTAGCTATGAATGCAGACAGGTTTCAACAGGTCGTATGTGGGTGGGAGATTTCTGAGGAAACATGCATGGCGTTAGAAAGGGAAAGGGACAAAGAGAGCATTCATAAGATATGCTGAGAAAAGCAGCAGGGAAGAAGACTAAGACTTGCAGATAATGTTTGGTCATGTATACTTTACTTTATGCATGGTAGGGCATGCATATGTGCTTGATAATGAATAGTGCTCAATTAAGTTGATGGAATTGAAACTGCATGGATTGTGTAAAGAATACTGCTGTTCTTTCTGCTAAGCACCCCATCGGCAGACTTTGATACCTGGGAGTGCAGCGGTTTAATAGGAACAAGTATGAGTGCTCATCACAATGTAATAATGTGTCAGAGAAAGACTTGAGCAAGCTAATTTAATTCTGTGCATGTCATTGACAGGCTACCATCAGTTATGTTCTTATCAATCTGACGGTTTCTAACAAGTTACATCACCTACGTATTTTTCCTCCGAAAAAGAAACCAAATATTTCAAATAAATCTCTCTTAAACAATGCAAGAAAAAAGGTTGTTTAATGCTCTAATTCATGAAGATATAGATGCATGCGGAAACATATTGAATGAAGGAGAAAAGATTGGTGGTGATGACATATTAAAGACGACAGAATGATTCAAGAGATCAGCCAAATAGTAATTAAGAATCAGAATTCCTGTGGCATATATGACTAATTAAAAAGTGGATGACTCAAATGTATGACCTAATTCATATAGGCTGTTGGTCAATAAAAAATGAAAAAGTAGGTACTATTTTGTCTAAAAGATTCTCACAGTATCAGCAGTAGAGAAGACAAAATGTATAATGCAGATGAACTCTACTCAGAAATAGTATAGTATTTCTATTCTATAATCTATAGTTTTTTGCCTCTTCATTTCTAGACTGCACACACACACACATATAATGTGAACAGATTGCATTCTTGTGGTACGCTTTTCCTGGCACTGCCTTGTGATGGCGATTGGGTTGTCACGTGGTGCATAAAAGTCACACGGATGCAATCAACGGAGTGATACCACAATGTAAATCTTCCTATTCTCAAGATGAAATTTTCCATGAGCAAAATCTTGAAAGATTTGTACCAGTAACATAACAAGCGACGAATGCTTTGCTCAGCACCACAACTTGTTATTATCACGCACAACAATTAAATAGAGATGGATTCCCTGCTAACTAATACCAAAGTCCGCGCTGTTAGGTGACATTGTAGGCCCATTGATTTGGTGGGAGGGGGGAGGGGAGTGTTCTCGATGGTTCCTGGATCATCCTAAATGAGATTAAACCTCCTCAGTCCGGATATGACCAAACCTATCCTGATCGGATGTGTTTGTTTAGATGACCAAACCTAACCTCCTCACAACCTTGTTGTTGGCCTGCCATTTCTATTGGAACCGCAAGTGTCAGAGACCCTTCATGTCCTTAGAATCAGATGACTCCTACATATATAAGTGGCACCACTACTGCAATAACATACAAGTCAAGTGCTTTCGAGGATCACCATATATTGTGCATCTTTCACATTAAACAGGCAAGGGAAGCGAAAATTCGGAGAGTAGCTTACAGGAAGGCAGAGAAATCACACCAGAAACTTATAAGAAATGACAAATAAAGAGACAATCCTGAGCGCAAAAGATAAAGCTCACAGTCTAACTATTTCTTTGTGCACTGAATTCATAGTTCAAGGTTCCACCAGTGGTAGGGTTACCGTCAACAGGTTCTATTGCCAGTCATGTAGCAGAGCCAAAACCACCCAAAAAATTCCAATGCTATATAGGTAAGTATTTCTAGAGTTAGGTAACCTAAATATACTAAGACTACGTGAAGGGAGCACATAGTTAATGGAGTCACTAACAGCTATATGGAAAACGTACTAGCGTGTCAAGACCGGCACACCCTTCAATCCACAGTGACATTGGTCGTCGATTAGTTGGAATGGCTAATCTCGTGACCATCTACATTTCCATTGGAGACTTCAAGAACTTGAATTGTGATAGGGCATATTCCGGCATCATCCTGCAGCCACAGTCAATCGCCACATCGAAACTGACGTGGTGCTTTGGTGCTGACGTGGTGCACCGTATTGATATGACACCTCGGACCTATATGAGACAGTCGCTTACATCCGTGCCCACGCCACCTGATGCTGTACGAGACGGTGCCACACGACTCGGGATCAGGCAGGTTAGTCAGTGCCTACACAGGGCGTATAGGTTGACCGCCTGAGACATCAGCGGCCATTAACCGATTGCATACGGTGACCTCCAATTGTAAGTATAAAAGCCGACCTTCGGGCTAGTGCCAAGGGTTGGACTGCGAACATCTAATCTCGTCATCACATCTCTCTACTGATTTAAGCCTCGAAGGGGTTGAGTCGGAAAGTCCACTCTCGACCTCGATCTTTGTGTAGGAATTTGGAGCTCAACGTAGAAGTACGGAGCACTACAAAATGCATCTCGACCCGATCTCCCTCAGACTGACCTGATCTCCCTCAGACCGACTTGACCATACATCGACTCACTCCAGCCTAGAAGCCACATTTGACGACCTTGCATACATGCCTCGAACCAAGTCGTGCTGACTTCTCGGCCATGGCGTGAAGTTGCATAATATTTCTAGTGCTAGAGGAAGGGCCATGTCATAGGAATGTCAACCATCGTGCAACCCCGACGAGCATCCCAGAGAAGAGGTACCCACTGCTCACTCCACCTTCGGTCTTGGGGGGCAATTGCCCCTTCCCCTCATATGGACGAAAATGTTTTAGCTCAAACCCCGAGTCACTACTGGCGATTGGAGACCTACGATAGCGACTCCGATCCGATAGAGCATATCGTTGTATTTCGAGCCCAAATGGCCCTATACGACACCTCCGCCGCCCTCATGTGTCGAGCATTTCCCACCACCCTACAAGGTCCGGCTCGAATGTGGTACGACCAACTAAGGCCATCCTCGGTCTCATCCTTCAATCAACTTGCAAGAGAGTCCGAGCTCAACTTCTTGGCTAATGCAAGATCGAAACCATCCGTGGCCATGCTCCTCGAACTAAGCCAAAAGGACGATGACCCATTTCATTGCTCACTTTGCTATCGACATCCGAGGGATCCCCGATGCCCACCCCTTGTTAATTATGTAGGCATTTCTGATGGGCCTATGACCATCTCGATTCTTCTGGTCACTGGTCGAGAGGCCACCAACGATCGTCCCCGAGATGCTCCAGTGTGACAACCAGTACGTAGTGATAGAAGCATTGATAGCAGGGAAGCATGAGAACCACAAGAAGCCCCATGGAGAGCAGTCCCATGGGCAACCCTCGGGGCCACCAAGGAGGAGGCTCGATCGACCCAAGTTGTCACTACCGAGGCCCCCTCTATCGCCCCTGAACTCATCAAGAATGGAAATCTTCCTTCAGATTAAAGAGAAGGGGCTCCTGAGGGCGCCCAACCCTATGAAAACTCCCCATGAGTCCAGAAATCAGTCCAAGTATTGCCAGTTCTACCATGACTATAGCCACGACACCGAGGAATGTCATAATATAAGGAACTAGATCGAGGAGCTCATTCGAAGGGGACACCTCGGACGCTACATCAAAAAATCCCGAGAACCCTCTCTATGCCCATAAGTCTTAATCGAGAAGCAAATTGAGGCCATTATTGACAACCCAGCATCTGGTGGGGACAGCATGTCGGGATGTAAAGCTTACGCTCGAGCCACTGTAGAAAAACACCCCAGACAAAACGATGAGCCCAAGATCACCTTCGAGGCGAGGGAAACCTGTTGAATCTCATATTTTGATGATGAAACCAATTGATATGTATTTATGTTTTAATCCGCGTTTTGAGTGACGCAGGATGCTTCGATCAAGTTGAGACAATTAAAGCAGGAAGAATCAAGTTGTGCCGGAGGAGAACATGTCAGAAGATTGGATGTCGGATCGGTCGACATATCGACAGAAGGCTTCGGGCCGTGGATTCGGGCATCATGCCAAGAAAAGCGGATATTGCGCCAAGGATATAGGAGTTGTGGAGTCAACTGGCCGATTGGACAATAAGCCGTAAGAGAGGATGATGCACCGAAGAATCAGACGAAGCGTCGAGTGACCAATGACATGCCAGACAACTTGATTAATGCTTAGTATTAATTATCTAGATCGAAGTATGTTTTTACATGTGCAAGATTAACTACGATAGCAAGGTATAAAGTAAAATAAAGTCCCGGAGTCAAGGACACGATTATGTTGGGAGTTCGAGAGTTCATCGGAAGTCCGGACATTCGTTGGAAGTTCTGGAAGAACCAGCCGAGAAGTCTCGGAGCTTGCCAGAGAAGCTCGTCGGAACTCACCAAGAAGATCGTCATGAAGTCCAGGAGCTTGCCGGGAGTCCACCGGAACATTGCCGAGAGATCGTCGGAAGGTCGCCGGAAGATCACTGGAAGAATAGACATAGGGACTTATTTAGCTTAGCAAATGTCTTAGGATTTCGTAATTAGCATGTAATTGGGCTTGGATTTGGGCCAACCCAATTAGGGGCCAGCTAGGCCCATATAAGAATTGTGTTGGGCCCAATAAGAGGCCCAAACAATGCCCCAAGAAGTCTCACCGTCGTGGCATAGTCTTCGAGACTGTGTCAGACGGTGGTACCGCTAGTCTGGGCGGTTGTACCGCCCCTGACAGGGTGCCAGGTGGTGGTACCGCCAGTCTGGGCAGTGGTACCACCCAGCACTACCTCCCAGGCGATGGTACCACTAGACTTGGGCGATGGTACCACCTAGGATAGTGTTAGTGTCGACTGACACTGGGCGGTACCACCGCCCAGCGCAGGCGGTAGTACCGCTCGTGCCCGGGGAACTCAGGATGGGAAAGTTTTATGCTCCAAGTTTGAATCCACTTGAAGCCTATAAATACCTCTCTCATCCCTGGTTAAAGCACACAAGCACAAAGAGTCTAAAAGTAAAGAAACGCTGCTGCAATCTCTTTAGAAATTTCCTCCTCCAAGTCTAAGTGTTAGAATTCTGTTTAAGAGAGGAGAGTGAGTGCTTGTAAGGGTTATCCCCTAAACCTGGTAAAAGGAGAAGAGGGGTGTAAAAAGTGGTTGGTCTTCGCCTATTGAAGGAAGATCGTTAGTGGATGCCGGTGGCCTCGACGGAAGAGGAATCGGAGGAGTGGATATAGGTCACGACGATCGAAACATTATAAACTACCGTATTCTTTAGTT